ACATACTTTTACATGCTGGAAGATTATTCCAACAATATGTTGTGGATGAATGGATAAAAATTGAAAGCCAAAGATTAGACTTTGCTACTTTTAATCAGGATTTATTCAGAGTTGAAAAATATGTGGTGGGCTCTTAGATATTCTACAATGTGGGGAAAGAGAAGCTTCACAGGTTGGAAAACAAAAAATACTCCCACTTAGCTTTACAGGAGGCCCAAGAGATATGCATCAAAGGTATATGGATGCTATTGCATTAGTGCAACGGTTTGGAAAACCAGATATATTTTTGACTATGACGTGTAATCCTTCTTGGCCTGAAATAAAAGAAAACCTTCTGACGAAAGGCGAAACACAAAATAGACCCGATTTAGTTAGTCGAGTATTCCGAGCAAAACTAGAAGAATTGAAAAAGGATATTCTCAAAACACAAATATTTGGTAAAGTTGCAGTATTTATGTATATAGTGGAATTTCAAAAGCGGGGACTTTCACATGCTCATTTTCTTATAATACTTGATGAAAAATATAAATTACTAACTCCTGAAGCATATGATCGATTTGTATGTGCTGAATTACCGGATAAAAAAGAAAATCCTACACTATATTCACTTGTTATAGATCATATGATGCACGGTCCATGCGGAGAATTAAATCCAACAAATTCTTGCATGAAAAAAAAAGGTCATTGTAAATTTAAGTATCCAAAGGAGTTTGCAAAACAAACAACTAAAGGAAAAAATTCGTATCCAATTTATCGAAGACGAAACACAGGAAAGAAAGTGCAAATAAAAGGGCACCTTCTTGATAATTCATGGGTTGTTCCTTATAATCCATATTTACTTTGTAAGTTCAACTGTCATATGAATGTAGAGATTTGCTCTGATATTAAAGTTGTTAAGTATATTTATAAGTATATTTGCAAAGGACATGATAAAACTGCATTTCATATACATGCTAATGATACAAACATAGAGATAGATGAAATAAAGGAATACCAATCTGCTAGGTGGGTGTCACCACCTAAGGCTACATGGCGTATATTTGCTTTCCCTATTAGTGAAATATTTCCGAATGTATATCATCTTCAACTACATCTTGATGGACAACAACTTGTTTCCTTCAAGAATACGTACAATATTAGTAAAATTGTGAACAATCCTATGGTTAAAAAAATAATGTTAACTGAGTTTTTTTTTAATGAATCGAGAAAACAAAGATGCTATGGACTTAAATTTATTATATCGTGAATTTCCAGAATACTTTTTATGGTCAACAGCAGATAAAAAATGGACACGTCGTAAACGAGGAAGTGTTATTGGTCGTGTGGTGACATGTCATCCAACTGAAGGGGAAAGATACTATCTTAGATTGCTTCTAATGAATGTGAGAGGACCAAAATCATATGAAGATTTGCGAACTGTAAATGGAGTAGAATGTAAAACTTTTAGAGAAGCTGCAGAAAAAAGAGGATTATTAGTGTGTGATAATAATTTGGTAGAATGTATGTCTGAAGCTCTAAGTTATCAAATGCCGTCCAGTTTAAGACAATTATTTGCTATGTTATTAATATATTGTAATCCAACTAATCCAAGAGAACTATGGGAAAAATTTGAAAACCCAATGTCTGAAGATTTCAAAAAAAATTCGAATATAGATACAAGAGAAATCCGTTACAAAGTGTTAAACCATATTAACAATATTCTTCATTCAATGGGCCGTGATATTAATGAATTTGAACTAATTTCAGAAATAATAAAGCCATCTGCAGCAGCAAAAGAAGCTAAAGATGTTCATTTCGAAAGAAATATCATTGTTAGCGAAGAAGATTTAATGTTAGAAAAACAAATTAAACATTGATCAAAGAAGAGCTTACGATATGATTCTTGACAGAATATTTTCAAATAGACCAGGGGCATTCTTTATTGATGGCCCCGGTGGAACTGGTAAAAGCTTTTTATATCGTGCTTTATTAGCTACTGTGAGGCACAAAGGATTTATAGCTTTAGCAACTGCAAGTTCCGGTGTTGCAGCTTCACTACTTCCTGGAGGTCGAACTGCTCATTCTCGCTTTAAAATTCCTATTGATGTTAATGAGAATTTCAGCTGCAATATTAGTAAGCAAAGTTCATTAGCATCTTTAATACGAGATGCAAAACTAATTGTATGGGATAAAATTTCAATGGCAAAAAAGGAAATGGTAGAAGCATTCGATTTGCTTTTAAGAGATCTCATGGAAACTAATATAATATTTGGTGGAAAGGTAGTTGTCTTCACTGGTGATTTTAGACAAACTCTTCCCGTAGTTCGTAGTGGAAAAATGGAAGATTTTATTCGTGAAAGTTTATTGTGCTCTGAAATTTGGAATCAACTTGAAAAATTACAACTATCAGAGAATATGCGTGCGAAAACAGATCCTGCTTTTTGTGAATATTTAATGAGAATTGGTGATGGAAAAGAAAGACAAAATGCCTATGGCAAAATTGAAATTCCTCATTCTCTCATTATTCCTTTTACTTCTGAAAAAGAATCATTGAATATGCTCTTCCGAGTTACTTATCCTGATTTATACAAATGTCATTCAAATGTTTCTTTTATTACTTCTCGTGCTATTCTAACAACCAAAAATGATTTCGTTGATGAAATAAATGACATGCTTCTTGCTCAATTTCCAACCACTGAAAAAGTTTACATTGCTACTGATGAGACAATTGATCCAAAAGATCAGAGTGAGTATGAACATTTTTTTCACACTTTAAGTCCTGCTGGCTTGCCTCCTTATAAATTATCTTTGGAAAAAAATTGCCCGATTATGTTATTAAGAAATCTGAATCCCAGTGAAGGTTTATGCAATGGAACACGATTAATATGTAATGATTTTAAAACTCATGTCATTAGTGCAACAATATCTAGCGGCGATTTTAAAAATAGACATGTATTTATTCCGCGAATACCACTCATGACATCAGAAGATGAGAAATTACCTCTCCCTTTAAAAGAACACAATTTCCAGTTCGATTATGTTTCGCCATGACAATAAACAAAGCTCAAGGTCAAACATTAGATTTTGTGGGTATCTATTTGCGCGAACCTGTCTTTTCTCATGGTCAATTGTATGTTGCTTTATCAAGAGCCAAAAGTTCTAATTGTGTGAAAGTATTAATTAGACCACCTACAGCTGACGATGATGATGATCACTCTACATACAATATAGTCTATGATGAAATTATTAAAAAAGCTTTTTCCTGACCATATGCTATAATTTCTTATGGTAAATTTAATTATAACTTGATTTTGTTCTATATTCTTTCATTTATATTAAACTATGTCTATTTTTATTGTTAATGTATACTATTATACTAATATCAATTATACTGTAATTACAGGTTAATTTCACTATGGGTGAAAGGTTAACTATCAACATGATCATCCCAATACAGAAGAATGGACTTGTAAGATCCAAGTAATTGATAAAGGTCGTCCCAAAGACAACAAAGAGAAAACCAAAAAATATCAACTCATGACTCTACAGGATGAAGAGGTATTCTTTTTTAAATTCACAAATTTGCCAACAATAATTGAATTAATCCATTTTTTGCTCATATACTAGAGATTGCTCATATTAAAATTTGATATATTTTGCTGGTGTAATTTTTCCCAATTTATTTGAATATGATGAAAATCTAATTGTATCTTATTTTCTTACAGGAAAATCAAGTTCAGGCCATCATGTTCAATGCTGATATAACGCATTTTGAAGATCTATTTGATCCTTTCCACACTTACTTGGTGTCGGTTGCACTGGTGAAGGAGTCATCTTATTTATATGGAAATCCACTTAACAAATTCACTTGGACAATTGATAGAAGTACCATTGTTGAGCCAATTGAAAAGGTCACTCCTCCTGAGGATCCATTACCTCCGCCAACACGCCTAATTATCACGGCATTTGACACTTTCGAGTATCAACCTAAAGAATCTGAATTTGGTATTTAAAGATTTAACTATCTATATTTGTGCATATACAATCCATTTATTATACCTTCTCAAAAATCTTTTTAGTATTATGACATAATAATTTTCATAATATATTAACTTATTTGTTTTTTTTTTGGTTTAACGCAAGATGTCCTTGCTATTGTGATTAATGGCGGCCCTTCAACATATGCTGCAAATAGAAGAAGAATTCAAGAATTTATTATTATGGATAAGCAGTAAGGATATACCTCCTCCTATTCCTCTCCTCCGTTTCTTTTGTTGTTCCTTATCTTCCTTCACCTCCTCCTCCTCTTCAACCACCTCTCGCTGTAGCTACTGGTTTTCTCTTTTTGTGGCGAAAAAAGATTGCATGTGATTCAACTATGAAGTTGTTTTTGCAGCATTTTAGTTTGAGATTATATTTTCATATTGTAGTATTGCTGAGTAGTAAGAGGTGAAGCACATGCACTCTTGTAATATGGTTCTTATTAAATCAAGCACACATAGAAACGAAAGCTTCAGGCTAAAACTCAAGATAGTGGCTTTATTAGGATTCTTGAAAATGCAATGTGTGAAAATGAACATCTTAGCCATTAGGTTGTGACTGCGTGCATTACTTTAACCAGATTAAAGGTGTAACTTCCATTTTATATTTTTATAGTGCCAAAATTTTTCTTAGGGAAACATGGCTTCCTTTTATTGAAATATGTGGGCATCCTTTTTTTGTCTAAGCTAGATATTTGTTATTGTTCACAATTTCATATTAACCTCCTAAGCTTAAAGTATATGTGATGTAACTTGGATGCTTGATTTATGTGATTGCAAAGTAAAATATTTCGTTCTTTGTTTCCCTAAGCACTTGACTTCTTTTGTTTTTGCAACTTAAATATTTGGGAGAATTCATTTATATGGCAAGTATTTTACTTTTTCAGTTTTTGTGTCTTCTGAATTTACATTACTTGTAAATAAAGAATGTCTTACATTTGAGGTTTATTTTACCGTCCAAGTTCACATTTAGCTATTACTTTTTGTTACGTTTACTTGACTTCCTTACTACAAGAGTATGTTGGTTGAAAGTAATGACGAATTATATCAGGATATAAATCATCAATATTATGAATTGTTGTCATCTCATGCTCATTTCATATTTCTTCTATATGCTTCAAGTTTTGGGCTTGTGAATCATTTTACAAGTTCCCACGGGAGAGCCTGGTAGCAAATATTGTATTTTCTTCATGTCGCTTCAATATAGTATTTGAACATCTTCTATTCATTGTTTACAGGAAAAAAACAACAAAATTCACACTCTGGGAAGATTACATTGATCTTTATGTGAATAAACTTTTGAAACAACTGAATGAATACCCAGTTATTCTTGCTAGAAAAATTGGTAGATCATCATCAGGTATTAGTACTTACATGATTTTACATTTTTTCTTTTCAAATATCAAAAAATCAAATCTTAATATTTGAATGCATGTAGGATCATCGAACAAATTCAATGGGCTGTCGAACAAATTTAGTACAACAATCTATTTCAATCCTCCTTACCCACAAGCTGTTGAGTTGAAGTCATGGTATTATGCATGTATTTCTTTGTGAATTATGCATCTGTAGAACCATATTGTTGATATAATGTATTAATATATACAAGAACAATTTTTTTAGATTTTATCTACCTTGTAGGGCCAAAACAATTGAACCAATGCTTAATGCATACAAGATAAAGAGTACATCTTCCACAGGCTCTGTCATGGTGGTTCCTTTTGAGGATGAAATCATAGCTATTTCCAATATCCAAGCGCAACCTCAAGTAAGAACAACATAAATTATATTATTCTATCGAAATTTAATTATTTTTAGTAGTCACAAAAAAAATATGTGGCATTCTTGAATTATATAGGGACAAGTATTTTTTGTCGAAGCTGAACTTTGTCTGCCAAATGAGAACCAACAATTTTGTGTGTTAGCTTGTTCTGACTGTAAGCAATTGTTCACGAGATCTTTCTCTCGGAGGACAATTTATTGTACAAACTGTCAACGATCCACTCATCTAATTCCAAGGTATAAATGCTACTAGATTCTTCTATATGAATAATGACTATTTAAAGTTTACAATTATTTTGTTTTTATTCATCTAACCAAATATTGCTCTACATTATAACAGATGTCAATTTGAAGTCACTGTTAGAGACAATAGTGGTTTTGCAACAGCCATTATTTCTGACAAACCTGCCGAGAAAATGTTATGCCTCAGCTCAGAAGAAATTTATGACATCTACCATGTCAAGGTACATATTTCATATTACTATTAGATATGAAAATTTGTCTATTTAGAGAACTGTTGAAAGCTAACATTCTGTTTTTGCTTTATTTAGCTTCATTTCTCTTTTAATATTCTCCTATACTTTCTTGTGGTTCAGTTAGACGCTTAGTGCCTACTTACTAACCAGCACCTTAATATGGACGGAGTAAGAGCTTACATTCTTTCACTTCTCATAACACAAGCAACTACTGGATGAAATATGTTGGACTTCTTTTATGAAGAACATAAGCTGCACTTACACACGTGCGAATAATTCAATCAAAAGACAATAGCTTAAGTTTGACAACGTAACATACTTGGTCTAATTAACTTTAAGACATTTCAGGAATTAAATGTCTCATTTCATCCCAACTCCTCTCCTTTTTTTGGTAGGTATCTATCCAACTCCTGTGTTTCTACTCTATGTTCTTTACTTTTATGCGTTTTAGAGAATACATGCAAGCAACATCCTTTCCTAACTTAATCTAAATGCTAAACCTGTCAGCCTACTCCAAAAATATTGGCTCACTGCAGAATAATGCCCTGCAATATCCAATCTTCAGCACCACCCCTTCCACTAAAGCCACATCTTCGAAACGTTAATTAACCTATTTCTGCTATTATGTTCTGATAAAATTATGCTCAAGGCCACTTCATCAATTTCTTTATTTTGTCCATGGAAATTGACATCTGATATTGACAGAAGGTTAAGAGTCTCCAAATCTTCATTCTTCACATTCTCCTAAAGTGGCAAAATGACCCTCTTTTGATGCGTAATTAACCAATTTTGTCCTTCCAGAAACAAATTTTACCTCTTGCGGATGTGCAGAAACAGTTGAGTGGAAAGATATTCAAAATTCAAATGAAAAAATTATTTACAAAATATCATGATACAGTGCAAAAGTTATCCATTTTATCTTACATGAACAAAGAAAATGAGATCCACCAAGAGTCCCCACCAAGCATGATGGATGTTGCCAAGGGGAGCAAACGCAAAATTGAACGCCTTGGCTTGGAGGGAAAAGAAGATCAAGAGACAAAAGACAATGCTTCCTACTACAAGCGGGGCTTGGAAATAAGGACTCCTCCTTTGAAAAAGTAATTGTAAGGTATTTGAACTTTTTAATTAAGTTGTTGTTCTTTCATCTGATCATATAACTAATTTTAAGATGTAATTAATATGATAGTTCTAAATAACAGATCAACACATGTGTAGTTTGTACGTACACTTGTTCTTGCACCTCTTAGTATTATTTAATTTTCTCTTGGAACGTTCTAGCAATTTTAATCGATGTACAACATATTGACTTAATTTCACTTGCTCTCTTAGTTGAAGCTGAAGCCACATTTTGCTGCTGTTTTGGGATGCATTTGAAGGCATTTTGCTGCTTTATTGGATGCAGTTAAAGCCATAGTTATGTTGCTGCTTTCTGCCTACGGTTAAAGCTAATCTTTTGCTGCTGTGATATTAGGTTAGTTTACCTATTTAATATCTGTCTATTATACTATCCCATCTCCCATATTACTCAATTAACTCGTTCTTCATGGTTTATTAACATGTCAATAATGTGTCAAAAGGACTAGAGGCATTGTAGTTTTCTCCCAATACAAATGACCAACTAATTTCACGTATGCTGTTTGATGTTTAAGATAGTATGAATTGTGAATGATTCCTACTTATTTATCAAAAAGGAATTGTGAGTAATAGTAGTGTGGAGCACTAATTAAGGTAGCGAACTAGGTGAAGTGTCAGCATTGTATGTTGCTTATTTCATTTGTTTCTGTTTATCTTTGTCTATCTAAAGCTGTTGGATATGTTAGAACCAGCAAATTGGAGTCATAAGACTTCTGAACTTGTGAACATAGTGCTGCTTGATATCTCATTATCTGATTTTGCTTGTAGAGGTGTTCTGACTGAACCAGCAAATTGTACGGAGGCATCATTCCACACTGAAAAAGTGCTTTAGAAAAAATCAGTTGCATTCATATTACCCTAAAACTTAATTTATTATGTTATATAGGTACTGAAACTTGGTATTTTCGTGTGATTTTGCAAATGTCATTGCAGATGTCAGTACTTTTGTTGCACTACAAAGAAGAACAAGTACTTTTGTTGCACTACAAAGAAGAACAATTACAGTATGGACAAAGAATCACCTTTTGTGAATATAGATACTCTCATGGATGTAAATATTATGCCACTTTCGAAGTAAAATGCATCTCTTTTTGTTGATATGTAAACAACAACATATTTATATATGTATATTTAGTATTCTCATGGATGTGAAAACTGTGTCACTTCAATGATGTCTCAACTTCTGTCCCTTCTATGCAATTTCATATAAAAACAAATTATTCACAAATAGTAATTTCATATTCTACAGTATTGGGCCCGTGCTATGCACGGGCAGAAACCATCTAGTTTAACTAATAAAATAAACGTGATGTCGTATACAATGAACAACTTCACTGTAACCTAACTTACACTGAAGTTAAGACGTGGAGAATGTGTTCTACTTAACGAGATTTATTATTATTTTTTTTAAAGTAAAAGTATTCCTACTAAATTAACACTTGATAATTTTCAGCTTTCATGGCTAAGTAATAAAACAGTTTGTAAACGTGAATTCCAAGAAGAACAAAACTTTTTTTTGTTGTGTATTTTTTTAAGAGAAAAACCTATCATAATCTTGTAAAAGAAATATCGTAATTAATGGCCTATTTACAAGAGTGACTAGGCAAAATTAATAGAAAGATGATTTCAAGGATTAATTAAACCAAGTGTTCAAGCCTAAATTTATTCATGACGGATTTATGGACTTGGAACGACCCGATAGGTCGTTTTGCTATTTAGAACCCCGTTCCCCCAAATAAAACTTTCTATGCTTGCTTTAACTAATTTACGACCTGCGGGGATGGTTGGTTCAGGATTTGGAAGAGTTTGGATTGAAATATGCTCATTTAACTCCTTAGGATTTTCTTAAAAGGCTAAGTTTGATTTTGGTCAATATTTTGAGCAAACGGACCCGGATTCGAGTTTTGACGGTTCCGGAGGGTCCGCAAGAAAATATGGGACCTGGGCGTATGCCCGGAATCGAATTCCGAGGTCCCTAGCCCGAGTAATGAATTTTTATTAGAAATTGTTAAACTGAAATTCTATGGATTTATAGAAACTAATTAATGATTGATCACATTGGTATTGGGCTCGTATATTGGTTCCAAAGCCCAGTACAGGTTCAATATAACATTTAAGACATGCCAGCAAATTTTGGTGTCAATCCGAGTAGTTTAAGGGTGTTTTGGCCCGTTAGAGGAAAATTAAGAACTTGAAGTTCATAAGTTTGATTCAATTGGTTTTAGGGGGTGATTCTTAGATTTAGCGTTGTTTCGGGCGTTCCGAAGGTTCGAGCAGGTCTATTTCGTGATTTCAGACTTGTCGGTATGTTCGGACGGGGCCCGAGAGCCCCGAGCGTCAATCGGACAAGGCTCGAGTAAAGTTGAAATTTTTGAGAAAGTGGTGAAGCATCTGCTTCTGTCATAACCGTACCTGCGGTTGGTGGACCGCAGGTGCGAGACCGCAGATGCGGTCCATCAATAGCAGATGCGGCCCGGGGAAGGCCAGGCCAAAACCGCAGAAGTGGCCCTCAAACCGTAGAAGCGGCTTCGCAGAAGCGGCTACAGGACCGCAGAAGCGGTCCCAGCCCATTTGGCCTGTTCCGCAGGTGCGAACGATTTCTAGCAGAAGCGGGACCGCATCTGCGGTCCCCTGACCGTAGATGCGGAAATCGCTGAAGCAATGAGCTTCATTTAATATGGGTTCCAAACCATTTTTGACACTTTTCACTCTTCCATTGGCGATTTTGGGAGCTTTTGAGAGAATACTTCCACTTAGCATCTTGAGGTAAGTTTATCCCACCTATTCTTAGCTTAATACTTGTGTCTTAGGTAGATTAAACACTAGAATTTAGGTAAAATCAAGAGGTTAGAGCAAAACCTAGGGTTTTAACAAAAGTTAGATTTAACTACAAAATTTGTTATGAAATGGATTAGAAATTATATATTATTGATCCTTAGGTTATAGAGAACAACTTCCTTCGAAAAATTTCGGAATCCGTGCACGTGGGCCCGAGATCGGATTTTAGGAAACTTTGTGTTAATGGTTGGGAAATTGCTTAAGTAGTTAGAATTCGATTTTGTGAGCTTATATTGATTAGTTCCTACCTCATTTAACAAGTTTGGGATCGTTCGGCTCCGAATTGAGGGTTTGGGCTCGTCCTTGGTATTGGAAGTGCACTTGGAGCGAGGTGAGTCTCCTTTCTAACCTTGTAAGAGGGAATTGTCCCCATAGGTATAATAATTGAATAATTTGCTACTAAAATGCGNACTCGTATCATGCTTTATAGGTGAATGTCTCTATATTTTCTTGCTAATGTGACCACTTAGGATATGCTAGAGACTTGGAAAGGAAAATAAGCGAATGTATACACTTGTGGATACTTGTATGAGTTTATTTGGAAATAAATGCACATTCATTTGTTTTCTTGATATAATTGATATTTGTGGATCCGGCCGATCGCCTCGGTAGAAATTGATGCATCTATGGTTCGCGCCATTCGACCCTCTGGCAGTGCACAGTTTATTTTCTGTTGGATCGGGCCGTCGGCCTTGGCATAATGTGCGCATGATATCTATGTGAAGCCTTATCTATGAATTGTCCTGCTAAATATTTGAAATGTGATTGGTTGACGGCAAAATTGTTCAGAACATGACTTATTATCCCTTGCTACAAACTGTCGATTATCTGTGACTCCCATGCTTAGCATAAAACCTTATTATATTATTTGACCCTAGTGGTATCAAGTCGACCTCTCGTCTCTACTTCTTCGAGATTAGACGGGATACATACTGGGTACATGTTGTTTATGTACTCATACTACACTTCTGTACTTAATTGTACAGGATCTGAGGCAGGTACATCTGGCTATCAGTTTGGTGCGCGCCCCTGATTCATAGCTTGAGACTTCCACGGTGAGCTGCTCCCTTCCTGTGTCGTCCGGCAGCTTAATGGAGTCTTTCTTTATTTTTGCTGTCTATTCTATCTCGGACAGTAGGATAGTTTGTTTCTTTTGTACATTCTACTAGTTGCCCATTACTTGTGAGACCAGGTCTTCGCACAGACGTTAGTAGACTATTATTTTGGGATTGTATAACTATTTGGCACATTATTTAGTTCATTTGTGATTTGACTTGAGCTTTATGAATTGCTTTACTTATTTTGGTAAAAGTAAAAATGAGAATTTAACTACATCTTCCGCGTTGGCTTGCCTGATAATGGTGTTGGGCGCCATCACGATCTATTTTTGGAAATGGGTCGTGACAACATGGTATCAGAGCACTAGGTTCACGTAGGTCTCACGAGTCATGGGCAAACCTAATAGAGTCTTGCGGATTGGTACGGAGACGTCTGTATTTATCTTCGAGAGGCTATAGGGTATTAGGAAAAACTACTCTTTATTCATTTCCTATCGTGCAGTGGTTGGTATACTAAATTTCCCACTTCTCTCACAGATGGTGAGGACACGCACGGCTGATGGTCCAGAGCTGGGAGGAGCTGCTCCCCCCGTTGCGAGAGGCCGAGGTAGAGGACGGGGGAGGGCACCGACCTGAGGTAGGGGACGAGGGTGTCCTAGAGCCATCCCAGTAGTACCACCAGCAGATCTTGCGGGAGATCCTATCATCGAGGAGCAGGGCGAGGTACCCGTAGCTGAGCCCGCCCCGACAGACTTTATGACGGCACCGGGATTCCAGGAGGTCATGGGTCGTATGCTACGATTCATGGATACCATGACTCAGGCTCACGGTCCTGCAGCTGCAGTGTATCAGACTCTCGGTGCACTACCCACATATGGGGTTCAACCAGTTTCTATAGCGATACCCGAGCCCAGACCAGCTGTGGATGGTGACCCGCAGAAGCTGTTGGATAGACGGACTAGACTTCACCCTCCTGTCTTCGGGGTGAGCGCCGTGAGGATGCTCAGGACTTCATTGATAGGTCCAGGGACAGACTGCACAACATGAGGATATTGGAGTCGCATGGACTTCACTACTTTTCAGCTAGAGGGCAGGGCCCGCAAATGGTGGCAGTCTTATGTTCTGGGCAGACCAGCAGGTTCTCCTCCTATCACTTGGAGTCAGTTCACGTAGTTGTTTCTGGACATGTATATTCCACCCTCTGAGAGGGAAGAGTTGCGGTATCAGTTTGAGCAGCTTGAGTAGGGTCAGATGTCCGCGACCGATTATGAGGCGAGGTTTTCTGAGCTATCCCGCCATGCATTGATGATACTTCCTACTGACGCAGAGAGAGTACGGAGGTTTGTTGCAGGGTTGCATTCTGGCATCAGGGCCAACATGGCCCGAGAGGTGGAGATAGGGACTCCTTATCAGTTATTAGTGGAGATTGCTCGGAGGATTGAGGGCTACCGTCTGAGGGGTAGGGAGAAGATGCAGCAGAATAAGAGGGCTAGGTTCTCCGGAGAGTTCAGAGGTGCCCCGGCTAGGGGCAGAGGTTAGTTTGGGAGGGGACAGCCCAGCAGGCCCCCACACTCAGCACCACCACCTGCTCGGGGTGCTCCAGCGCGTCCCTATTTTAGCGCCATGCCAGAGAGTTCTCATCGCCCACCAGCTATTCAGAGTTCCTCCGGCGGGTATTCAGGTCCTCAGGGTTCTTCTGATTCCTATTTCAGTGCTATGCCAGAGAGTTCATACCGCCCACCAGCTATTCAGGCTTCTTCCAGTGAGTCTATAGGCCATTAGGGTCAGCTATCAGGTCAGCAGGCCACCGCACTGCGAGGCTGTTTCGAGTGCGGGGACCTTGGTCATATGAGGAGATACTGCCCCAAGCTTCAGGGCAAGGCAGTACAGCAGGGTCAGCAGCCTATGATTTCAGCACCGGTTGCCCCACCACCTAGAGGTAGAGGGGAGACTGGTAGGGGCCGTCCTAGAGGTGGAGGTCAGGCAGGGAGAGGTCAGCCAGTTGCTGCTCAGTCAGGTGGAGGCCAGCCAGCCGGCGCTCCAGCCAGATTCTATGCCCTTCCGGCTAGGCCAGATACATTGGCCTCAGATGCCGTCATCACAGGTATTATTTCCGTCTGTGGTAGAGATCCTTCGGTATTGTTTGATCTAGGGTCCACCTATTCATATGTATCATCTC